TCACTGAGCTAAATCCCCGGCCCAAGAAAAAAGTTTTTAAAATGGGAAGGGGCATTTGAGACTTCATTCCTAGATGTTTGAGAATGGAAATCTAGATGATAACCTCAACTCCCTGGTTTTCTCACTAGGAATGTTTGATTCATCCTCCCTGGGGCCATCTGAACAGAGGGGAGACAGAGATAGGACAACTCTTCATTCTTGCCAATAAGCTGGTTGTAGGGATAGGCACTGCCATACCCAGAATCCTCCCCACCCCAACCCCCACGTGGAGTTTCTGGTGCTGTCACTTTTCAGATGAGCAAGTGGCAATCAGGTATAGATGCAGAACCTGCTCAAGACTAGTTGGTGATAGTGCTGGATTTGAACTCAGTTCTCCCCTACTCCAAACCTGGGTCTTGACCCACTCTTCGTTTTCACCATACTTGCCCATGGTGGTACCAGGAATCCCCTCCCTACTTTGAGCCAGAGAGGCAGGCTGTGTCAATTTGACTGTGTCTGCTCTCCCAACATGGGCATTTGGTGGCGTGGGGTGGGACCCACCAGAAATGCAGTCAACCATGGGTGAGCCTCTCTCTCCCTCTTCAAAGGGTGGGAATGCTGCGGCCCTTCAGAGACTGGTGGTGGTTTCTGGTGATGGACCTAGAGACTTTTGAAACGATTTTCATTGAAACAATTTTGCAGTAAAATCTTGTAAACCCTAGGAGTGAATCCAGGGTTGGTCTCCCCTTGGCTCTGAGCTAAGTCTGGACAAGGCCAAGGACCCACATGGCTACAACTGGCGTCCATGTGGTGCACTGGGAGCAGAGATACATTTTTGGCCAGGGCAGTGCCCTGGGTGGGTTTGGATGCCCCGTCATCACCTGATTTACATCCAGAGGTCAGAGGTTTTCAAACCACACCCAATCCCTCAGAAAACTTCAAGGGCTGCTATAGAAGGAAGGGATCAGAAAGGAAGGGTCCAGGTAGTCAGCCCTCGAGGCCCCCACGATCGATTTGAGCAGGACTTGCCTTTCCATCTGTTTTATATATGGAGTCTCCTAAGATTTAGTTTAAAGAAAAGGTGGTGTTGCTTATAAAAAAAAATTCTTTGCAAACCTTACCTAGAGAAGTTTAAAGGAGAGAAACCGAGATGGGCCTCCACCCAACCCCAAAGCTGGCCCAGCTCCTGTGTGGCTGGGGACACTGACTCAGCCCCACCCTAGAGCCTGTTCTGGGATGGTATGAGTGGTCTGGATGTGGGGAGGCAGAGGCAGGGGCTGGGCTTGAGCCTGGGGTGAAGGCCTGGGTTGGTGAGGGCTCAGAGGAAGGGGCTCCTCTCACAGGAACATGAGGTGGGTCCCCAAAAGCCATAGATTCTGTAGGTTCCTGGTCAGGGCCCAGGGCTATGCCTGGATGGTGGGTGTGACATCTATCCTGAGCAGGCTGGGCTCAGGGAGGTGCCAGCCCGCAATGTAGCCCACACCCTCAGTGGGATGCAGCCCCCGTGGGGAGTAGGGGCCAGAAGAGCAGAGTGACAGTGGGAAACACCCTCTGGGTTCAACAAATAAAGTCAGGCTCCAGGCAATGGGCAGGTGGCCAGCGGGTCAGAAAGGTCAGGAGCCAACGGGGAAGCTGATTGTGACATCAGAGGCCCTTTCTTATCCCAGCGGGAGCTGCCCGGGCTGCTCTGTTGCCCTGGCAGGAACTGGAATCCAAATGAGCCTGACCCAGCAGCCCACAGTGCAAGTCCACTGAGACAGCTGGCTGAGTGTATGAGTGTGTGTGTGTGTGTGTGTGTATGCGTGCGTGTCAGAGTGGGTAAAGATAGGGAGCACATCTCATTACTACCACAAGTAGCTGTGGACACTGGGCTGTTCCCAAGCTGGGCATTCAAACTACGCTTGTCAGACTCTCTGCACTCCAAGTCCTTTGGTGTGCACCTGTCTGCCTCTCCTGTAGGCAGGATCTCAGCGAACAGGATGGACACAGCCATTGTGCCAAGTCAATACATTAGAAGGGGCCTAGAGGACTCTGGAGGCAGATACAATGATAGCAATAGAAGCAAAATGAAAATCCTAACATTAAACAAACAAACCCACAAAGCAAAAATGAAAACCTAAAATCCGGGACCCTGTGTATAAGCAGAGGGAAGCTGTGGCTGGATGGTCACAAGAAGATCAGAAAATCCGGAAGTCAAAGACACTGTAAAGTCCATCCCTTTCCCAAGGTACAAAGTCTGTCACTAGTGTTGCTGGTGTGGATGCCTGGCTCAAGCTTCCAGGGACAAGAATATGAGGACCACGCATGGAAACCCAGAGTTTTCCCCTACATGGAGTGGGGAGCTCCTCATTGCTCTGTGCCTCTTTGGCCTGGTTGGACCCTTTAAGCCTGATGCCTTGAGCTGTAGAAGACAAAAATCATGTCCCCTAAGTCTTCATTCTTCATACATCATTTATGAATTCAACAGAAGATTCTGGGTTGTATTGCCCAGGAAGGGGCCAAGAGCTCAAGACCCTGGACTCAAGTCCTACCTTCACTGCTTAGCAGCCGTGTAATCTTGGGTAAGTTACTTAAACCTCTCTGAACTTCAGTTTCCTTCTCTGTAAAAGGAATATAAGAATAATAGTTCCTTCACAGAAGATTAAGCAGTAAAATGAATGGAAATGATGTCCTGTGGAGCCTGGCATATGGTAAATGCTGGAAAGTTTGGCAGCCACCTTGAACTGGCACTGAGCCCATACTTAGCTAAAATCTAAGTCTTTTTACATCAACTGCATACACTTATCTTGATTAAACTTCATTTTGTAATTTCAGCCCATTGTCCCATCCAGTCAATATTGGTCTGTCACCATGCATTAGCCAGCCCAGCCTACTTTGTCATCTGTACGTCCTATAACTCGTCTTTGCAACAGTTCTCCGCGCTCTCCAGCCTAATGTCGACATAGTACTGGAGACTCTTTCAGCTGTCCTGCTGCTACTCAGTTACCAACTCTGCTATCTTCTAGCCCACACCAGCTGCAAGGAGTGAGAATTTCTTCCCCTCATAAATTTTGAAAACTCCAGGAAGAAAGTGAAATTATATTATTATTGAATTACTTCTGTTTATTTGTGTTTTTTTTTTTTTTTTTGGTACCGGGGATCGAACTCGGGACCTTGCGCTTGCAAGGCAGGCACCGGAACCACTGAGCTAAATCCCCGGCCTGAATTACTTCTGTTTAAAATACCAGGGAAATTAAAAAACCTTTTTGGAAAATAACAATCAAAAGAGTGTTCAACATCAAATTGAGGCCCTTGGCAAGAGTACATTTTATTTATCTAGAACATTCCCCCTCCTGGGGAATTGTGTCAGTTCTCCACCGTACCAGCACATGAGGTGCTTCTACAGAGCCTTCTGTGTTTTTCCATGTGGTCTATACTTTCTCTCTCCTATTTCTCTATTCTATTCTCATTTAGAACAGAAACTTTTAAATGTCAGGAGCCTTCTCTATAGTTCCATATCTCTCCTTAACTCCTGAGTTCCCATAAGAAAAGGCAATTTAGGGTTTGCACTTAACTCTTAAAGCCTGCTGGCTGACAAGTTATTACCACAAAAAGTGATCCTTTATATGTACTTGTGTTGGTGAAGTTTAAAGTCAACTTGAGTGGGCCAGGAGGTGCCTGGATTAAATACTGTTTCTGGGTGTTTCCGAAAGGACATCATTTCTAGACAGGGTTAGCATCTGAGTCTCTGAACTCGGTAAAGCAGACAGTCCTCCCCACTGTGGCAGTCATCCTCCAATCCTCTGAGGGCCTGCAGAGGACAAGGTATAGGGAGGAAGCTGGAATTTGACTTTTTTCCAGTCTCACTTTTTGAGCTGGGACATCTTATCTTCTGCCCTTGGACTGGGATTTTCATGGACAACCCCCTGGTTCTCAGGCCTTTGGACTCACACTGAGTTACAACATGGGTTTCCCATGTGGCAGATCAGAGGATATCTCAGCCTCCACAACCAAGTAAGCCAACTCCTGGTAATAAATCTATCTATAATTTATATCTACCTATTTATATCCACATTGTTCTCCAATTGGTTCTGTTCCTCTGCAGATCCTGTAGCTTCCAAGAGTAATGGATGCTCAGAGGGGCCAGAAATGAGCTTCTGGAGGGCAGGACTTAGGTTTGATTCACTTTTTGTCATCCTAGGTGTACTGTACCATCACACATTGCACATGGTAGATACAGAACTCAGAAAACAATTTTTAGAATGTTGAGTGAATAACATGAGGGACAAAGGCCACAATGTTCAGATGAAGCCAGATTGATGGATGAGGCCCTTGCTCCTATTCTGGCTGCTGTTTTCTGCCTTACTGGTGTCAAGAGTAAATGCTTGCCCTGAAGTTTAACCAGTCTGGGCTTGCTACTGACAGTTTCTCTTTGAGTTTTTGAGAATGCCACTAGAAAGTGAACAGAGAAGGCAGACCTGAGGTTGAAGGCAGTCAAAGAAAGATCCTGCAGTAATCTGGAGCTGGGGAAGGAGGACAGATTTTTTTTTTTGGGGGGGGGAGGAAGATGAAAGCATTGTCAGGACCCAGAGAAACAAGATTATATCTCTTGGTCAACAAACACCAAGTGCCCTACTTTATACAGGCTCAGCTTTCTAATGGGATACCCAATAAACTGGTTCCTCCCATTGTGTGCTTATGGTCTAAATGGGCATAGAAGAGCCTGAAAAGATCAACCATAGCCCACTCATAGGTGCCAACAAGAGAGGTCCTAAAAGGCTCCAAACTGAAGGCCCAACTAGATGTGCTTAATCATGGAGAGCTTCTTGACAGAGGCGAGTTTCGAGCCCCTTCCAAGGAGATGAGGGCCCAGGGCTAAAGGGGAAAGATTGAGGGGCTGTGACATCAGGTGCAAAGAATTGATGCTCAGTGGGTGAAAAACCCCACTTCCTCCAGTTCTCTAAGGGTCTCCCTTCACGTGGCAGCCTCCACCACTGGCACAACTGGGCCCAGGCAGGGGGCTGGGTCACTAGTGGTCTAACCTCATTGGACCGGAGAACTCCAAAGAACGGGTAGAGGAAGGCAGGGACCAGTGCTGCAGCTCCCAGTGGCACCGCCTCGGACACCCAGTACACAGCCGTCACTATCAGCACGTAGGCACACGCAGCTTCCTGGAGGGAAGGACAGAGTAGGTTAGTCCCAGGGAGGGAGAATCTGAATACACCCTGGGGCTGGGGCAGCTTGCACTAGACACAGCTCTGCATGGTGCAAAGCTGTGCTGGGCAGTTGAACACAGGAGACCCATTTTTTTGTGGGTGAAGCTAGGGCCACTCCTGAGGACCCATGTCTGGCACATAGTCAGCACTGGTGTGCAGCACACTGGCCACTGGGCCACTGTATATCACATGGCTCTGCTGGTGCATGGAACTGAAATTCAGCCCAGCACCCAGACCCAAGATGAAAAACTGTGAAGGCAGAGTTCAGAGCTTTAACTCAGACTGGAGCCAAGTTGATCAGACACTGGAGACCCTAGGGGAAGCGGGAGATGGTTCAGGATATGGGATTGGCTCCCATGTGTGCTGTCAGTCAGCACAGGGGTAGAAGATCTGAAGATACAGGGCATTCAGTGTTTGCCCGGCTGAAGGGAAGTGGTTCTGTAAGAAGTGAGATTTAGGAACGATCCCAAGGGTGGCTCCCACACAGTGTTCTCACGACCCCGGAGGAGTCTCAAGAATATCCCAGAGAGACCACCAAGGCCTTGAACCCTAACCCTCTCCAGCCTCACCCCTGAAAGAATGGCCCTGCTCTCATTTGATTTCTGTGCTGCCTACATGTAAGCTTATTTGAAAAATTTTAAAAAGTCTTCATGGCTTTAAAAATGAATAAATGAAGTTAAATCTCCTTGCTTCAGATTATTAGCTAAAACAACTCTACTCAATAGCAATTTTTCTTGTTGCCAAGGCTAGTGTTGAACTTGGACTCAAGCAATCCTCCTGGCTCAGCCTCCTACTAGCTGGGATTACAGGTGTGCACCACCATTTAGTAGTAAAATTTAATACAATAAATTGCTAGGCAAGAACTGGTTGGCTATTTCCCCCTCCAATGTCCAGGGTGAGGTTCTTTCGTACTGTACTCCCGTTGAGTGGCTGGGCAAGCCTCCCATGGGGCTGTTTGCAGAGTCAGTACATAGCTGCAAAGAGCCTGGTGGGGAGCAGAGGAGAGGCAGGCAGCAATCCTGAGAACGAGACTCTCATTTTGGATGATGAAGAAGAAGGAACTCCTAACTCAGTGTTTCTTAGCCTTGGCTCTAGTGACATTTGGGGCTGGACAATTCTTTGTTGTGGAGCTAGCTGTCCTGTGCAGTGTAAGGCATTTTACCACATTTCCCCCCAAATAAGACCTAACAGCCTTGAAACTGGGGATCAAAAATGCCAGCCCCCATCGCCCTATCCTTGCCCTGCCTGCCTTACGGAGTCGCCACCAAGCAAGAGAACAGCGAGGTAGAATCTTGGCCATGACTTGCTGTCACCGTGACGGTAATGACCAGTAGGGCTTAGTTTCTAGCTAGACCTCATTTTCAGGGAAGCACAGTTGCAGCACCTCTGGTCTCTACTCACTAGCTGCCAGTTGACACAACTGAAAATGGTGCTCATTGCTCTCTGCATCCTTTCACCTGCCTGGTGCCATGGGAGCATCCTTTCCCAGAGAGAACAGAGTGCCATCCACGTGGAAGAGGGCTGGAATTCACCAGCATTTCCTCTAGCCCACTTGCTCTTGGGTAACCAAGTGGTGCACAGAGTAAATTAAGTACGAGCTCTTATCTAAACCCAGTCCCCCTTAACTTTGGCCTCCAGTAATGCTGACTGCCCCAGTGATGTTGCTGGAGGTGTTGGGAAGGTTGCCAGGGGCAGCATCACCAAACTGCAGGACTCAGAGGGCCCTTTTATAGAAAGTCAGAGATGCTGGGAATTTCTTAATTTTCACCAAGTTCTAAACCATCAGGGCTCAGGAGACCTCCCCTGGTGGCCGACCCAGGAACCTGACAGATCTAGCTGTGTTTGCAACCTCCTGAGTTCAGAATAAGCCTCCTCCAACTGTTACACTGAAGTTACAAAATGTTGCTGTGCGCAGTGAGGGCAGAGGAGTGACCAACAGGCTTGGTGGAAAGGGACCTTGCTCCCTCCTGATAGGCATGGATTATGGGGCTGAGGTCTGGGAAATGGGAACTGGGTCCACTGATTGTTGACTTGTGGCTCCTGCAGGGCCGAGAGATGAGAGAGAAGATAAGACTTTTGGAAATGCTGACAAGACAATGGAATCAGTAGTGAGGGAAAATGGCTTCACAGGGGAAAGAATACAATGGAGAAATGCCCTCTTTGTAGTGGAAATAAAACTACCTGAAGGATTCAAAGCTCTCTGGAGCCTTCTCATTACCTTTCTGGGAAAGAGACAGAATGAAAGGTCTTAATTCCAGGTAAGATAAAGGAACAGAATGCCTGCCTCACTGGGAAGCCTTTATCCTGGTCACTAGAGAGTCACAAGGGAGTAAGGCTGCAGGGAGGGACAGGGAAAAAGAGAGAGAGGAAAAGAAAGGAAGGGAAGAGAGAGAACTTTCCATCTACCATGCACCATTTGGGGTTGAATTAGGAGATTTGGGTAGGCTGCAATAAACTTTCCAATAGTAAAGATCTTAAGGAACTGGGGTAGGTTAGTGGAGGAAGTCCCTGTGTTACCTTCAGCCAGGAAATCGCAATAACTTCCTTCAGTCCCTTTTCAGTTTTCCCAGAATTAGGTACACAAGCCAGGATTCAGATACCCAGGACCCTGCAGTGTTCCCTTTTAGGAGTCTGGGGTCTCCCTTATCTTACTGGGAGGAATATTCTGGAAACCCAAGGTCACTGCTCATAGGGAATTTGGGAGTTGGTAGGTATTCAGGGAATGCCTTTAAGGGCCAGTGTTGTCTCTCTCTATTTTTTTCTTTTTGCTACTGTTCAAAAAAAAGGAGTTCAAAAGTTGAAGGTCTCTGTGTAGAATGTTGCTACCTTGAGATCATCTCAGGCTTGGGTCTGCTCGACTACCACAGTGACAGCTCATGAGGTCTGGCTGGCAGTAGCTTGATGTCTGTTCATTTGCCCTTTGTAAAATTTAGCATAGGAGGTTGAGTGCAATGTTTATCCCACTGGGGACCTTGAAGAGGGGCTTAGTGATGGATGCCTCCTCTTGTGCCTGCTTCAGTTTTTATTTGGTGGTGCTGGGGATGAAGCACAACCTCATGCAAACTAGGTGAGCACTGTACCACCAAGCTACACCCCTAGCCCTACTGTCTGCATCTGTGACAGGACAGACAGGTCCGGGAAGTCATTCGGACCACTGCTAGAATGTAGCTGTCGCTTGGCAGTTTGAGGAACCATCAGAACCTCAGGCAGGGAATTGCTGCCCAAGTACTCAGTCACTGCTCTCCAGTCCCGTGCAAACAAACCCACCTAGAAGTTCTAAGGGTTCCGTATCAGAATGGAACAGTCTGATGCGAGGCATTGAGAATGGGTGTGAGAATAATTTGTGTTGGGCATCTAGCCTGGGCCTCCTGTATATGGGCACTGACTTAAAACCGAGATGGGGCTCCTTAAAACTGCTGTGGGCGCTGGGGATTTAGCTCAGTGGCGCCTTGCCTCCCTCATAAGTGCAAGGTCCTGAGTTCGATCCCCGGTATCAGAAAACAACAACAAAATCAACACCACCACAAAAAAACTGCTGTGGGGAAGAAGGGAATTTGTTTCTTAAGTCCTTTAAACCAAGCTACATTGAGTTAATAACACCACGACAAGAGGACAAAAAGGGCCCATGTGGACAACACAGACACCAACCATTGAGCAGCCTGAGAAAGATGCCAGCAGCAATTGCCATCTGTTAATCCCGGCCCAGGGTTCATTGTGTTCCCTGGGCACTCTGGATTTTTTCTGATAATAAAGACGTAAACTAGCTTGACTTTAAGAATAATCCTAAACCCTTCCATTTAACTTTTTAACTTGGTTTTGGTTCCAAGTGACTCAAGGAGCAAGTGGAAGGTGCTCTTCCCCTCCCACCACCAGAATTCACCAGCTGTGGCTTATTTTTCCTAGATCTCAAGAGTAGCGCCAGTTGCAGGCAGGTGTAAAACTGGCCAGGAGGTGAAAAGACAGGAAGGGAAGGGAGGTAAACTACGGTCCAAGAAACCACTGATCACAGAGCTCAAGCATGGCTCCCTGCTCACACGACCCCTGTTAAAAATTAGGTCACAGTCCAGAGTTTGGGGCCTAATTTCTTTCTTTTTCTTTTTAAGATCAAACCCAAGGGCACTCTACCACAGAGCTACATTGTGAGCCCTTTTTATTTTTCTATTTTGAGGCAGAGTCTTGCTCAATTGCCCAGGCTGGCCTTGTATTTGCAGTCCTGCCTGCACCTCCCAAGTAGCTGAGACTACAGGCACACGTCACCACCCCGTTCTTTGTCTTGTCTTTTTATGATTGACCTTCAAGAACACAGAGAAGAAAACACAGAGGATGCAGATAACCCCAGGGACATGTGTGCAGAGCCACAGCAACTTGCCAAGCTCCACTTCTGACTTCAGCTTTCCTCCCCTGGGGTTCACAGGGAGCCTCAAAGATTCCGATTTTCAAATTCTGGTTATCAGAGCCCACCATGACTGACCACCAAGCTGGATTGGCTCCACAGTACCCTCGGCCCCTGTCCTTGCCCTCTGTGTCACAGGCCTTCCTGTGTGTGTAGTAAAGGTCCCAGCGTGTGCCCGGCCCTGGCTCTGTGCAGACCTGTCAGTGATTTCAGCCAAGGTGACTTCTCTGTCCTAATGCGTGCCTGGGCCCTCGGGGTTGGGGACTGGCACTAAGATGGAGGCAGTTTCTGGGAAGAAGGTATTTGGGCCTCCCCCCGCAAAAAAAAGTTCATTTCTTCAAACATACACTAATGCATCTCCGGGTGCTGCTGAAGCTCCCCATTCCCGTTGCGCCCTCCCTTGTGTGCCCTGCCCTGGAGCCAGGGGTACTTACACTGCTTGGGTGCAGGATGGGCAGAGGCAGCAGCAACAGGGGAACGAAGATGACCAGCAGCAGCTTCCTGGCCTGGAGAAGACCCTGCAGGAAGCCCATGGTGGCCCTACTTGCTCTCCCGTCTGGCTCCTCGCTAGGTACTGCTGTCCGGCCAGAAAGACTTCTTAAACTGGGTTTCCAAGAGCTCTCTCTGGTCTTGGGGGCAGAAGAGGGGGGCTGTTACACCCCCATTTCCACAAGAGGTGGGCTCCTGGTCTCCCCCTTAGGTGGACTGATGAGCATGGTTTTATGAGCAGCAAAAAGCAACTGGAAAAGGATGATAGACAGGAGCATAGTGGGCTCTCTCTTGGCTTGGTTAGCAAGAGAGGATCTTCATGCTCACTGCCAGCAAAAGCCTTCCTGAGCAATTAAACCCACGCTTTTGCTGCTGCTGTTTGGCCTTTCATTTAAAACATAAAACATTAAAAAAAAAAATACTAAGAGCATAGCATGCTGGCTATCATTTTCTCTCCCTCGGATGGCCTGTAGTGGGGAGGGCGTTTCATCTCCTACGTGGCTCGCTGGTGTAAAAATCTGGGAGCCCCTTCCCCCAAACAGGTGCCTGGGAGCCCCTTCACATGGGGTCTGCTGCTCTCTCCCAGGCCGTGTCACCCTACCTCGTTTAAAATTTCTTTCCTTCAAATTGGTTTCCTACTTCTAATTTGCCTTGAGCCTAGGCCTCCAAAGAAGAGGAGGAAAAAAAAAAAAAATCCCAAGACATTCCTGATTATCACAGGACAAAAACTTGCGAGAGGTCCACCTTTAACTTTCATTTACCAATGGGAGACCCACACAGAGGCAGTAGCCACACCCACTCCTCAAAGCCAATCAGCAAGTCGAAAAGAATGAACCCGTATCTCTTCCAAAGGCAGCTCTTGATTGGTCACAGCAGGGGCCTGCTGATTGAGCAGCATCTAAGCAGCTTGCAAAGCTTATTTTTCCATTTCTCAAACATCCTAGGGGCTGGAGTGATGATCATTGTTGTAAACATAATCCAACTTCCCCAAGCACTGCTTTGGTATTTCTTTCTTTTTTTTCTTTTTTTGAGACAAGGTCTCGCTTTGTGTTCAGGCTGGCCCTGAACTCATTTTACAGCCCAGACTGGCCTCAAACGCATGGCGATCCTCCTGCCTCTGCCTCCCAAGTGCTGGGATTACAGATGTGTGCCACGACACCCTGCCTTGCTGTGGTATTTCTGAGCTAGGACACAGATCTCTCCTTGGAAGGGCCCCTTGTTGACCTGGTCCTCCAAAAGATGACGTGTCTTGGGCGAGAGATATCTCTAATTGTGGATAAATGTGTCCCAGAGTGTACAGTGTTAAACTTTTCTGCTTCTCAGCTGGCCAGCGTTGTTTCTTCTGAAGCCTGGGAGTATGAGGTCTCAGCTAAGGGTGTGAGACAAGTCTCCTCTGGGGTTTGGGGAGAAGGAGAATGGTGGCTGCCTTTCTGAACAAGTCTGGATGCCTCTTGTTTCAGAGGTCCTCGGACCCTGGTGCCAGTGGCCTTTCTGGCTGGACGTGCTCTCAAATGCTCTTTACCAAGGGCTCTTTACCCGAAGGGCACCGGGGCCTCCTTTGCTTGGCACACAGGAGAAGGTGGACAGGGAGGCAAGAAGTTGACAAGTCCAAGGAAAAGGCTCAGGAACAGCGGACTCTGGATTTTTGCACTTCACGGATCAGGAGAAACAATAGCTTCTCTTCTAGGAAAGGACTTGGGGATTTGGGACAGTGAAGAAAAGCAAAGGAAAAAGAAAAACACTCCCGACCTTCTCTAAGTGGTTGTCTTGGCAACATTACCTTGACCTGGGAGTTGCTGAGCAGAGACAGGGTTTATGAAACCCATTTTCTCCAGAATTCAAAGATTGGCACTTTCTAAGGTACATGATCCCCAGGCCAAACATGAAGTGACCAGGAAAGTGGCCCAAGAAACCAGTTCTTCTGGACTTTCAAGACAGGTGCAAATGGAAAGCCTAGGTCTTAGAAGTTACCTGGCTATTATAGTGCAGGCTTTGATAACTTATAGCTTTGCATACATCTTAAAGACTGGCTGTTGTAGTTCAATCCCCGGTACCAAAAAAAAAAAGAAAAGAAAAAGACTGGCTGTTGTGTTTACTACATTCTGGCCTCCTTTTTGTAATGGTTTTTAAATTCAGAATGGACAAGACCACATGTGTGATATTTTAGTTGCAAACAGAAAGACTAATAACAAACATAGAAGTCAACTTCCACTATTCAACCTAGGAACCACTTAAATTTCTTGGTGAAATAATCTGAGAATAAGAAAGATTCCAGTGAGTTTAGCAAGTCAATTGTGGTATTTTTATTATGTCATAGATGAATATTTGTAAATAAAATTAAGTGAGGCAAGCAACACACTAAGAGGAGTAGTTCTCCTTCAAGACTCTATCCATTTGTCAGACAAAGGAAATACTTTCTGCATCCAGTGCTCAAGAAATGGAAGATAGTCTACTTGTGTGAATAGGTAAAGTGATCAAACTCTTAAGAACAAGGACTAGAATGATTGGTTGCCGAGTGTTGGGGGAAGGGGCAAAGGGACATTATTTAATGAGTATATAGAGCTTCAGATTTTGAGATGAAGTTCTCGAGGTCTGTTGCACAATAATGTGGCTGAGGGCATAGCTCAGTGACAGAGCCTTTGCCTAGCGTTCAGAAGGCCCTAGGTGTCTCTAGCCCTGCAGACAAATAAGGAACGGTGTGCATATAGTTCATACTACCACTACTGTACTGTTTGCTTACATAGTTAAGATGGCAAATTTTGTCATTTTTTTTACCAAAAAAAAAGACATGTAAGAAATTAAAATGAGTTAGGAAATTGTTGTGTGAAGCCATTTAATGGGCATTTAGTTCTAGACCAGTTTACCTAATCAGTTACCTTTTTTCACTGATACATACCTTATGCAAATCTCTTTTCATTATACTCAAGGTGAGATGAGAGAGAAATTAATTTTAGCACAAAAGATGTTTGTTGTTATCTCTTGAGTGACATGGTGGGGAATGACACTCAGGATATTAAGGCTTCCAACTATATAGGGAGCTTCCAGAGTCTGGGTCCTGAAATTTCCTAGCAGTGTAGAAATAGTGGAAATGGTTCCATGAGTCACAGATGAGTTTCCACTACAGATGTCACACCCCCAAGTTATACTCTGAGTAAATATGATGAAATACGGCCCACCCATGACCATGGCTGAGTGTTGCACAGAGGAGGCAAAATGGTAGTCATTCCTTTTCTTTTGAGAGTCTGTTTCTACCCATCTACTTCTCTATTGTTCACTGGCCAAAGAGTAGAGTTATTGTTATAAAATTCTGTGGGTAATCACTGGTCATTTGAGAGATGCAAATGAAAACAACACGGAGATTCCACTTCACTCCAGAAAGAATGGCTGCTATCATGAAATCCACCAATAACAAATGCTGGTGGGGCTGTGGGGAAAGAGGAACCCTGCTCCACTGCTGGTGGGAGTGTAGACTGGTGCAAGCACTGTGGAAATCAGTATGGAGATACTTCAAAGAACTTGGACTGGAAGTCCCATTTGACCCCGCTATTCCACTGCTGGGGATCTTCCCCAAAGAATTAAAAGAATCATACCACAGTGTTATATGTGCGCCCATGTTCATAGCAGCACAGTTTGTAATAGCTAAAACTTGGAAACAGCCCAAATGCCCATCAACTGGAGACTGGATCAAGAAAATGTGGTTTTTTTATAAAATGGAGTACTACTCAGCCATAAAAAATGAGAAATTAGAGACATTTATAGCTAAGTGGATGCACATTGAGGCCATACTCTTAAGTGAAATAAATAGGACACACATGAATAAATACCGAATAGTTTCTCTGGTGTGAGAAACTGAAAGTGTAAATAAGGACTAAATGTATAATAGGTAATGTGAAATAGGAAGAAAAGGGGCAAAGGGGAAGGAAATGGGAGGGCTAGGGGAAAGGATAGAAGGGAATGGGATTAATATGAGAAAATGGAAAAATAGGAACAAAATCTTTGTAAATAGGGAGGAATGGAGGGGTTGAAGGGAGGGCTGGGCAAGGGTGAAAAATAAGAACCAAGAGAGATTATGTAAAGGTGCAAATTTCCAATGATGAATGTCATTATATTGTATACCTAAAATGTACCAATGATTAGAATGAATAATTGATAATGTAAAATAGGAAGAAAAGGTCCAAAGGGGTAGGGGTAGTGGGAGGGGCAGGGGCAGGGGAAAGGAAAGAAGGGAAAGGAAAAATGCTGAGAAATGGAAAAAATGGAAATAAAGTCTTTGTAAATAGGGAAGGATGGAGGGGGTGAAGGGAGGGCTAGGAATGGGGAAAAAATAAGAACCAAGATGCATCATGTAAAGGTTCAATTCCCAATGAGAAATGTAATTGTGTTGTATACCTACAATGTACCAATAAAAGAATTTAATTAAAAAAATTCTGTGGGTAAAAATTGTCTCTTTAGATTAAAATTAAGAATCTAGTTACTGAAAATGGAGTCTTCATTTGTCTTCTCAAAGGTCATGTCCTCCCCCCCCACTATGGCATCAACTGCCACATAAATTCAAGCTCTGACCTATGTCTGTGAAGTGCCTTTCATCTTTGTTGTGTGTGAATGAACTACCATTGCTACCAGTGGTCCTGGGAACAAGGCTCTTATTCACAGATCTCCTGCCCCTGCGAGCAGCCCTCTATGCCATGAGGTCTGGCAAGAATACATAGGTGGGTCTTTCCACCAAATGATTCCCAGCACAGGAAGGCTCTCAGATCCACTCTGGTGGGGCAGAGTCTCGGGGTGGGATGCAAACTGTCAGGCCATTGGACAGTATGTAGGGACTGAAGCCGTTGCTGGTCCCTCCCCACCTCCAGGAAAAGTACAGAGAGCAAAGGTTGGCTATGAGGGCCAATTCCTCTGGGGAGTCCCAACCCTGCCTGCACATCAGCCTTTGTCCTGTACAAAGGAAAGGGAAAGATGATGCATTGTCACAGTATAGGAAGGGGGTGGTGGTGGGAGGAATGGGAATGGAGAGTAAAAATGATCCAGATGAGAAGTGTATATGTATCAAATACCTGAACTGAACGGAATCACTATACAGCAAACATGCATGAGAGTGAGAGAGAGAGAGAGAGAGACAGAAAGAGAGAGAGACAGAGAGAGTGAGCAAAAGTCAACCAGAAGACAGAGACCTGAAGATATAAACAGATATTCAGAATTGGGCCTATGTATGATCATGTGCCTAGTGCTGATCTAGAAGCTCATTTGTTCAAAGATTTGAGGAAGTCCAGACCTCCTTCTCATCAGATGACACTTGCTAAATACTTTTTTCAGAATCAATTTTGAATTCAGAGAATCTCACTCCTTCTAAGATCAGACTTCTTGCAGTTTTAGCCTCCAGGACCCAGCTATAAACTGAGGAAGAGAAGCCAGAAAGATCCCTGTGCTGGTGAGGAATCCTTATCAGGTACTTTACACTTTCATCTATTAAGTCTTGTTTAACACAGAATGACAACAGTCCCAATTTTCTTAGTTTTCAAGCAATGGCGTTTAAGGAAGAGCAAACTGCAAAGGGCAAGTTGGTAACAATGAAACACTCTCTGTTATTACAGTGAAATACTGGATGTCATGTAATGAAGCAATGAAGAATGATCTCTTTGCCTGACAGAGAGGAAGGCAGAAGAGAACTCAAAATGGGACACAGATCTAGCAGAGCCTGGGGTCCTGCCAGACTGGTACCAGAAGTCCAGCCCCCTTCACAGACCCTTCCCTATGTAGTATTTCACAGTTGTTAAATGTTTGTAGAAATTTCACAGGTAGAAGGAATCTTAGAGCCTATCTTATCTAACTCCTTCATTTTGAGGTGGTCCAAATGATTGGCTATATATATGTGTGTGAAATGTCTTAAGCTTTTATTCGGTATCATATATGTTTAAAATTCATATCAAGCCAACATTTCTAAAATGAAAATGTTGACATTTGAAAAAGTAAAATTCTGTCACCTGAGGATCATTTCTCTTGGGTGCACTTAACTCTCTGATGAGGCTAAGTTATGCCAGATGGGCATGGGTACCAGTGACCCCTCTTAATTAGGATCCCCTCTTTGTGTTCACTTGGTGTCTCTGTCCAGAGGAGAAGGCATGGAGGGAGCGGTGGCATTTCTGTGGCCCCTTTCTGTTCCTCCTCTGTATGAGAATAGCATTCAGAAAGGATGAGTCCAGACACGCAGGTCATAAAACTACTGATTTTCTAACCAATTCTTCTTGATGGCTTTTGGAAAAGTCAGGTTTATCCTTAGTTAACACTGTGTTTATTGGGGTATAGCTCTGATTTCTTTATATTACGATGGAGAAAAGTTTCATTCAACCTGGGCTGAAGGATCCAAGATATCTGTCTCCCTTTATCCCCCACACCCAACTTCTTGGTGTCTTCTCTAGCTATGTCTCCTCTCAGGTGTATGTTGATTGCTCTACATTGCAGCAATCTTAGATTTCCGGGTGTCTCAGGCAATCTGTGCTGCTTCTGTAGGCATCTTGGATGAGCTCTATGGCTCTTTAATCCAGCCTAGGTCACACTGCAATGGGCAATAACACAGTCTCCTCTTATCACTGCTGCCCTGTTACGTGTTTTGTTGGCAGTCTCTGTACTGGAGCAGAGGATGAGCTTTCTAGATTATTGTGTACTGGTCCCTGGTTCGAGGTCCTGGTGTGGGCCAGGCTCTGAGGGGGACACTCTGGGGCCTGAGGATCGAATCAAGTCATGCCTCAGAGCCTGGAAGAGACTAACAAGGGCCTGGGCCCAGACGTCCTTCTGGTGGCCTTGCGACAGGGCTGTACGGTAGGCCGTGTAGGCCAGGGTCAGCACTGTCCGCTCAAAGTCTTCTTTCTTGAGGATGCCGGGGGAGTTGGCCAGGCTGGCACTCAGCCTTCGGATGTCAGGGATGCGCTTAGGGATCACATCATTGCAGATGGTGTGGAAGTTCGAGGCCTTCCGCAGGGAGGCCAGCTCCTCATCCTTGATGGAGATCTTCAGGTCAGGGCTGATCTCAATTTCGGCCAGCAGGAGCTGGGGGGAGACACGGGATGTGGAAAGACATGAAGCTGAGCGTTGTCCAGGACACAGCTATTGCCATTGTCACATATGTCTGCTTAGGGAGGGAGCTGGGGAAGGAGCTTTGGGATCAAAGAGGCCTGGGTACCAGTTCTGATCTTCCCACTTCCTGTGTCACTGTGGACAACTTGCTTAACTTCTCTAGGCCTTATTTCTCTTCTCTGTAAAATGATTAGTAACAACATCTACTTCATGGGGGTATCGCGAGAGTTCCATAAGATAGTACCTGGTACAAAGCCACTATTTAAGTGGCCAATTATTGTTTCTAGTGAACCAGATCAATCCTTTATCTTTCTTTCTCTCATCCACCAAAGATCTTCTAAAGCATAAATGGATAAATGAACTTTTTTTTTTTCAGTACTGGGGATTGAACCTAGAACTTTCACACTGAGTTATACCCCTTTTTTATTTTTTATTTTGAGACAGGGTCTTGCTAAGTCACTAAATTCTCTGGGTCAGGCTCAAACTTTTGATCCTCTTGCCTCAGCCTCTCTGAGTTTTGGGATTTCAAATACGTAAATGTAACACATGCCTGGCTATTTCAAAAGCTTTTATAGCAGAAAGTGGGACTTTAAGGAATGTAGCACCTTGCATTAGGGATTTAGTTGCATTCAGATTTGTCTTCATTTCTCTCCAGCTTGTAGTATAAGGGCAAAGTCTGTCATCTGCCTCCCTGTCCATAGCCAGGAGTCTCCCTGGCTCCTCACAGGAGGAGATGAATATATACATAGATGGAATGATTCCAGATCTCAGTCTCCATCTGCTTTCTGACCTGCTGTCCAACACTTTCTGATGTCTTTCTAAACCATGGATCTGTTCTGTGACTCCCAGGTTCAAGGCAGGTCAATGCTATGCATCTGCCAGTTTGCTCCTCAAGGCAGGGCTTGGCATCTCTGTCCCAGTCCCTCTGTGTGGCCATATGGGCTGTGTCTTTCTTAACCAGACAGTTCTAGTATGCGGAGTCAGAATGTCAAAGTGGGAGGGCAGTTTTGGGGATCAGAGCTGAACTCTTCTCAGGTTAACAGTTAAGGAGAGTCAGACCCAGGGAGAAATGGTGGCTCATGCGAGGTCACAGGGCTGATGGATTAAAGCTCAGATCTTGACCCTGGGCCTGAACTGCTGGCCTGAGCCAGGCAGCCTTGGAACGTCTGGCCTGTAGTTTGGAGTAGGGGTGGCAGAGCAGAGTCTACAGGGAGGCTCCTGCATTCAGAACCCTGGACGGGCTAGCAGGACAGGCAGGTGGCCTTGGTGTCACAGCAGCAGGGCCTTAGAGACATGGCACACATGCAGATCCTACTGATGAACCATGCTTCAAAGCCTTTTCTTGGGTATGGGCCACCCTTGGGTGCCTGGGCATGGGTGGTGGCATTCATGGGACCACCCTAATCTCTCATTTTCCTGAACTGAACTCCCAAGGCCAGCATCCCCACTGTGGCACACAGGAGAGGAGGGGAGATACCAGGAGAGTCTTGCTTTGGGATAAGCAGGAGTCCAAAACCTCCACAGTTCGTCTAGGCTGTTCCCTTCCAAAGCCCAGGCCACTCATGTCTGGGGGCATGGGCAGGCCCCCTCTGCTCCTCCAAAAGAGAGAAGGTGCAAATTCCCCTGGGTGATCTGGGTGGACCACTTGCCCTCCCCTACCTCATACAGCAGTTCCACTTCCTCCAGGGAGGTCTGCAGGACAGGGTTCAGCGGCATGGAGGAGGACCTCTTTGGCCGGTGAGCAGCAGGGAAGAGTACAGCTGGAAGAAATGAGAGTGAACTGGGTTGCTGTGTGTACACTAGGCTGTTTTGAGCAATCAGCTGCCTTGCTGCACTTGGCCTTGAACAAAGCCATGAGTCTTCAAAGTGAGCTGACAGATTGCAGGTAGAGGGGACAGACTCCCCTGGCAGGTTCCACTAAGTTCCCAGGCAGTCTCAGACTGATGGCTTCAAACCCAGTGGCTCATCAGAACCATTTGAAAAAGTTTTGAAGAACTGATATGCCTAGGGACATGTCTGTGCTAGAGAATTTATATTAAAACAAAGCTAAAGGAAGCAAAGCAGAAATGTGCACACAAACAAAAATCTCCCAATTCAACAAGGGATTTCCTAAAAATACTGTCCCCTAGTAGTACCACAAAACTGAGCACTTTGTTTCATCGCTATGCAGTGCTGGTTTATAATTTAATCAGAGAATCCGACTTCTGGCTACCCTACTCATTGGAAACAGAGCTCCCAGGAGTCTGAACACAATTACAGTCAGTAGTAAATGATAGATTTCAATAGAAAGATTTATAGCTTTTGATATTGACTTAGTAAACTGAATGATCCTCTCCTTTTGGAACAAGGATGATTCTAGATATTTTAATATTAATGAGATATTCTTTTATTTTTCTAACTAAGAGATACCAAGAATATAACTCAATGCTAAATACTTTGCCAGATGGATGTGGAGTGCTACAAACCAAGCAAGATAAAGCTTCTGGCCTCATTAGATGAGCCCTTCATTACTTGGAGGACAAATAGTGATTACAGTATTATAACTATAATGAAAAATGCTATGTTGGGAGTGCAGATGAAAAACAACTTTTATATGTGCCTTTTTCAGCAGCTTAAGTGAACGTGCAACCCCTGTCTCCAACTCTCAACTACACAATTAACCTTTCACTTATTTGATCACAAAGTCAACTATGGGTAGCAAGCACTGTACAGAAGTGGTGGGCTAGCAGGCTTACAATTGCTAAATCAAGTGCAGCTTCTTCAAGGCTCTTTTTTTTTTTTTTTGGTACCGGGGATCAAACTCAGATCCTTGCGCTTGCGCAGCAGGCAATGAAACCACTGAGCTAAATCCTTGGCCCTTCAAGGCTCTTGATTATGAGCCAGGCATGGAGGTGCACACATGCAATCCTAGCACTCAGGAGGCTGAGGCAGGAGGACGGTTACAAGTTCAAGGCCAGACTGAACTACATAATGAGTCCCTATATCAAAAAAACAAAACAAAGAACAACAAATAAACGACTCTTGATTATGATTCCCCAGACAATTGGGGGAAGCACTGTAAAAATCAGGCATGGGAATATGAGGCCGTCAGGTGCAAGGGTTACATTTTGCGTAACCATAATGATGGCTCTGCTGGTTTTGGTGCCCTTGAGCCATGGAGAAAAGATCAGATTATGTTCAATGTGGCTTGCTAAAGAGGGCAGGGACGGTTTAAAGCATTTTAGAAAGATTTCCCTCAGAAGAGATAAAAAACGATATATCTTCAACTAAAAAGGAGCTTTCTTGAAAAGCTCCCTATAGGAATCTCCCACTTTCAGAAAAAGCTGGCGATGTAGTGTTGCTGAAATGCTGCCGTCCCAGGAATCCTTGTGTCATCTGAACTCAGCTGCCTGGGGCCTGATGAGTGTGGTTTTATGTTTCTATAAGTAATGAGTGGAGACAGCCTTGCTTTTGCCTTCTCTCTGGTAGAACAGCAAACCAAGATAACCGGTGTTACGTCAAGGCATGAGCTCTTTCTTTCTGTGCCTTTCTTTTTCCACCATGAAAGGGGTCAGAGAGCCCTTCTCAGGACAGGATTTAAGCATGACTTTACTTTCTACTCCATTTCTTCTCCTCATCTTTGGCTTCCTCCCTCCTCTCTCCTCCTCCTCCCTGTACTCCCTCCTCCTCCTCCTTTTTCATCTTTTCCTTCTCCTCCTCTTCCCCCTCCCCTCCTCCTTTTTCTTCTTCCTTTTCTTTCCCTCCTCCTCCTGAGCTTTCTTCCTCAATTGTTTCCTTGCAAATAGTTCCTTGAAGGAGCTCAGCCAGATAGAGACCTAGTTCTCCCAGAGTAGAGCAGGAAGCACTTCCTGGTTCAAAGCTTAGTAATGGGCTTATTTCCAGTCTTTTCCGGTTGTTCCTATAGCCACTAACACAGCTGGGTGGAGATGGTTAGAAGTGGCCTCAGCCTGGACCAGGAAAATGGCAACCACTGTAGGATGGGTATGTGGGGAGCTCAGGAGTTTTAGCACAGGGGCTTCCCTCCCTTCCCCCATCTCTGGCATAGGTGTACTGGAGGGTAAGGCTGCCCCCCATGGTTCTGTAGCTGCATTAATCAGGAGCACTGAGCATCCGGAAGGGCTGGGCATTTGTGTTGCCTTAGGCTGCTGGTGGGTAGGCAGCAAGCCCTCCATAGACACCTCAGAGGCTCAGCAGCTGCCAGGGTGAGTACATCTCCCTTCACTGGAAAGGCTGGGAGTGAAATGTCAGGTCACTCCCAGATGTTCCCATCCACAATGAGAAAGGCTGGCTCCTGCAGGAAATGCTGGTGGCCAAAGCAAGGACTGGCTGATTCTGAGCTTGAAGCTAGGCTTCCTCCTCCCTCACTAGGAAAACAGCCCTGTCTCCCCTTTCCCTGCCTCTTTCCTTTCTCTGATGTCCCACCCCTAAATTTATGGAGGTGCTCAAAAGTTCAGGTCTCTGCTCTCTGCACTGGCCAGATCAGTCTTCTCAAAGAGAGCCCTTCGAGGGCCTGCCTGGATGCCCAACAGCCATGGCACCTCCTCTGAGATGGAAGGGCAAGGAGAGCACAGAGAGGAGACCAGACCTTGACATGGGGGTGCTGCTGCACCCCAGGGTCCATGGAGCCTCAGCTAAGAGGGCTACTGGGAGATTCGTATTGGAGTTATTGGCTTTGGTATCTTTCACTTGGCATAAAATTCTGCCCACTTGCTGTCTTCTCCACCTAGCCCACCCACCAGGCATTCCTTTAGTGTGTGGATGTATCTATGAGGGCCATGCAGTGCGCCTGTCCTAGGGACACCCGGGAATCACTTGTCTCCCCCATGATGGATCATCTGCTGCACAGGCTAGCCTTAGGGAGGGAAACTGAGGCTCTTTCCTTCAACTCCCCAGACAAATAGCATCTATGACATAGTGGGCTCGGGTTCACTTACTGATGGTCATGGACATGGACTGGGTCCAGAGGTGCAGGGTTCACGTGGTATCCGATGCCCTGACTGGTTCTCCTGTAGAGAGACACCTTTGGACCTCAGACTGACCTGTCCCTATGTGGGGTTCAGGTATAATAAGATCACACACTCAGTGTGTGCCAGCCAGCCGGGTTTGTGCTGTCCAGATGTACCTTGAAAGCTAAGTATTAACTTCCTATTTTATAGCTAAAGAAAGTTGGAGCTTATGGAACTTGCCCTCAGCCACCCAATTTGTTTGAGATAGGACTAGAATTAAGACCCAGATCTCCCAGACTCCAAAACCCAGGTTCACGGATAGAGTGAACAATACTATCTTTTCGTAGGGATGTCTGTCCCAAGGCTGGGCATTCTGCAGTTCTGGGTAGCTATGGCAAGGACCAGTGTGAATAAATGTGAATAAATGGATGCTTTTGGTATAGAACATATTCTTAAATAAAATGCATTTTAAATCTCTAATTTTGATTTAGAATAATGTGATTTTCAAGGTCAAACTACAACCACTTTTAGGTGTTGCATAGATCCCAACTCCTTTGCTCCCTTCTTATTCCTTTGGACTTATTTGGCAAGGGCACACCCTGGCCCTACCTGTTGCACACCTGCACCTGAGCACCTGCATGTGGCAGGAGGGAAGCACCATGGCACAATCACTTACCTGACAGGGTTCTTTTTGTGGTGGTGGTGGTGCTGGGGATTGAATCCTGGGCCTCACACATGCTAGGCAAGTTTCCTACTTCTGAGCTACATCCCTGTCTTTTTTTGTTTTTTATTTTGAGATAGAGTCTCTAAGTTGCCCATCCTGGGCTTGAACTTTCAATCCTCCTGCCTCAGCCTCCCAAGTAGGGGAGATTACAGCCTTGCTCACAGGGATCCTTAAATGCTGCCTGCCCGTTATCCTATCTCCCTTCCCTCTCCCTCTCCTTCCTTCTCAGAGGACTGCTCCACACCTCCCACCACCCTGTGAGCTGGTTGCCTCACACACTTGAGCAGGCTTACACACATGGACTTCTCTGCTCTCAGACCATGCACTCATTTAGAGCTACATTGTCCATGTGTGTCTGAAGCCCCCATAAAGATGGTGCCTCCACAATCCAAACTTTTCTTTTCAAATCTTTAACTTCCTCCTCTCAGGTGGGTCTTTCACAACAACATGAAAATACACTGCTCTGTCTTTCACTGTAATAAACAATGCCTGCTCCCTGACTGCTGGTCTCCATGTTGCAGTGTGCTTGCTGCAGTTGTGGGCTCTGCTCCTGCTTCTGGTGCCTTCAACTTGCTATTTCCAGACCACATGCCCAGACTTCCTAATGGAAGCTCCCCTTTGGACTTGTGATAGCTGTTTCTCCTTATCTTCATTCCCAGTGCCTGACACACACACACACACACACACACACACACACACACACGCACATCTCCTGCCTGATCTCCAGCCTTCCCAGTCTCTGTCAGTTGCTCAGCTGCCATCTTTGACTTTCTCTGTCCTTTATATCCCACCCTCAACTTATGAGCAGATCTTGCTGTCTGTACCTCCACCATTGATCAGGTGCCTGGCCACTTCTTACCACACTCCCGCCAGCCTCTTGGTCCTAGCCCTGAACATTTCCCTAGTAAATGTCTCTACTACCATCCCAGGCCCCTGCTCCACTCTATTCTTAAAACAGAAACTAGAGTGAATCTGTGCAGCTGTGGGTCTCACAGTGCTGCTCCTCTGCCCAGAACCCCTTCTCGGAGCACAAGATGAAGATCTTCAGGTGGCTACAGGTATTCCACAGCTTAACTTCTTTCTACCTCTCTGCACTCATGTCCTACTCTTCCAGAGCTCACACCACCCTGGCTACAAAGCCTCTTACTGCTTCTGAGCATGCCAGGCCAACTTCTGCCACAGAGCCCTTGTATAGCTGTTCCTGTGCTTGGAACAGAGACTGTGTGACTTGTCTCCTCACCTCTTAGGTCTTTTTTCACTTTCTCCATGAGGTCTTCCATGAACACTGTGTTTAAAATTTTAAACCTCTGTACCCACTAACCACTGTTCCTACTTTACTGACATCCAAAACCCACACATTTTATTTGTTCATGTGTTCATTTTCTGCCTCCCTTCCACGTGGGCCTGGGATTTTGTCTGTTTTGTTCACTGCGATATCCTCAGTTCCAAGCACTATGCCCATTACTGTTTGTTGAAGGAACAATCCCATAGCAACATATTACCTACCCCTGTCACCAAACTTGATTCTTTTCAATCAGAATATTTACAGAAATCTTCTTCTTTCTAACAGCGTGATTCTAAAGAATATTTGTAGTTCTAGGTCCTGGCCAATGATCAGAAAGCACATATTGACTTTTGTCTCCACCACACCCTTCCTTTATATCTCAGGAGTTCCTGCTCTAGCCTGGAAGGAGAGATTTTTAATTTATCCCAGTAAAGGCAGTTGTTATGTCCATGCTTTATCCCTGTAGACTTTCTGGCTTTGATGTACAGATAGAAGGTGCCCCAAGTAGAGCTGGCAGTGTTGTGCTGCGGTCTGACTTTTTCTTAGACTTTTTACACTCTTCTTGGATTAAAAGTCTCCCTCTTCCTCCTCACATTTCTACAATCCACTCCATATAACAACAACGCTAAGGCTCCTTGGTTTTCACTGTGTGTGAAACACTTGAGCCTGAGAGCTTGTTGGGAAGGATTCAGACTGCAGACGTCATGGAGCCAAAACACAACTATGTTTAGTGTATCAGCTGAAGCAACTCTGTGGAAACCACAGTGAGCATGGAAAGGAAACGGCTCGCCTGTGAAAGATCTTGTGCCAGATTCTACTGCTGTCACCCATCTTTTGGCTCCTGAGCCAGCCCTAAGGGAACCTAGGGCTGCCCGAGTAAGCCAGTGTCTCAGTCCATGTGTTGGGTCCTCAGGAGAGTGTCTGAAGGTGCAGTGTCACCTGGAGAGGTGGTGGAGGAGGAGTGTGGACATCGAGACAGTCAACACCCAGGGTCACTCCCTTCTGGTCCACCCTCCTATCTCCTCTCCTGGAAATGGTCACAGCACCACCTGCCTCCTGGAGCTGTGTGGAAGACACAGGTGGCTCTGCACAGGGCATTCAGGATGCTGTTGCTGGGCACCAACTTGGCCTTTCCCTGGCACAGTACTTGTGAGTGAGGGCGCCCTCAACTCTGGGATGACACTGAGCTGACAGAGTCCAACGAGCAGCAAAGGATGGAGGGCATCCTTCCCTACTGACCTGCGTTGCTTATGTGTTATTGACAACAATGTGACTGTTCCTATTGGTTAATAAGGTCAAGTTTCCAACCTTTCATTCCTTCTCCCCATCCTTCTTTCCTTCCCTTCTTCTTTCCTTCCTTCCTCTCTCCTCCCCTCTTCCTTTTTCACTCACTCTCTCCTTTTTTCCCCTCCCTCACTTTCTTCCTTCCTTCTTCCCTTCCTTTCCTTTTTTCTTCCTTCTTTCTTTCCATAGTACTGGAGATTGAACACAGGGCTGCATGTATGCTAAACTCATCCTCAGTCCCATATTTTTCAATTTTTAAAACGTCTGCTGGGTCCTCTTTGCTCCAGTGTTGCTCTGGCAGGACCTGGGACATGCAAGGACATGGGTGTGTGTGTGTGTGTGTGTGTGTGTGTGTGTGTGTAAATCCAGCATCCCCAGGTTGGCCACACTAACCGCAGGTGAGTCATTTGGTCAGAATCAAGCCAGCAGGGCTGGAATGGGCAACCCTGGATCCTGGCATAGAAACTCCCTCCTAGGGCACAATCCTAGAGAGTGTGTCTTTGGGAGAGGCTGGGGGAATTGTAGGAAAAAGGGTGTGCTGCCAGCCGTGTATTCCCTGAGTTTATTACCTCAGTTCTACATGTGAGAGCTGGGGGTGGGGGTGGACCAGGAAGATCTGATAGGAGAGGACACCTCTGACTGCTTTCAGAGGGGATTCATCTAAGGCAGGGCTGCAGTTGGGACTGAGGTAAGAAGAATGGTGAAAGGAATAAAAATTGTTATTTATTTGGGTGTGTCCCTTAATTCCACTTTAAGAAATGACAAGAACTGTGTGTTCCTATTATTATTGGAAAAACGTTAAATATGAAAAAAATTAAGCATGAGGAAGACTTTGGGTATGAACTGGAGGAACTCCACATCATTTGTTGGTGCTGACCTGGATCTTGGAGCACAAGTCTAGAGCTGGTCACTGGCCGCCTCATAATGCCCTGGTGTCAGTTGGATTGACCTCGTGCTTATCTCGATCATGAAGATCATGAACATGATGGGGACAGACCTTCCCCAGGAGCAGAGGCCTGGCCAGAATAACTGCTTCCGGGGCTGTGGCTACCGAACACTGCTGGGGACCTCAAACTTTCTTTAATGGAAAATTTTTGCTTATTAAAGAAAACCTGATAGGTAATAGCTAACATTTATAGAGAGCTTCATCATTTACAAACCATTTCATTTCTGTTTGAATGTGACCTGCACAACACCACCATAGGCTAAGTGTTGTTACGTTAGCCTGTTATAGTTAGTAAACTAAAACTCAGGGAGGATCACACAGTCAGTTAATTAAGGGCAGAACTGTTTTGGAGCCCCTGAAGCAGCTAGAGATTTTACAAGCCATATTACAAGTTATCTTCTGGCTTTGCATCAGGAAGAGTGGGTATTATTATCCTTTGAGGTAGGGGAATTAAGTAGTGCCCTGGGTGACAGAGGTTAAGTGACCGAGCCCAGCTGCAAGATCTGTTTGCTACTTCAAGTGTGCCCAAAGTGTGTGCACATCATGTGCGTGTAGGTGTGTGTGTGTGTGTGGGTTGTGAACTCTGTATAGCTACAAGAAGAAAAAGAAAATGTTGTACTCTTTTCTTCTGGACAATAGTCATGTCCTGGCTCAGCTCCGAGGACTGGCAAGTCCCTGATATTGGGCTTAACCACAAGCAAACAAAATCCAAAATGACTGACACTGGCCTTGAGAAGAAGAGATGTGACCCATGCAGCCACCAGGCCACCTTCCTCAGATTTGGGTCTCTAGAGGCACCCCCAGGCCTGACTTGAGGGAGCACTGTTCTTCCAGTTCTTCCTGGGATGTGAACTTGCTGACTCAGGCCAGTGGAAAGAGTTCAGACCAGATCTGTGTGGAGTGGGCAGAACTCCTGGTCCCTCGTTTCCTATCAGTAATGGACCCTAACTGGCTCAAGGGGCGGTCAGTGCCTGCCATGCAGGGCCAGTCCCTGGGCTCAGAGGGAAAGATGCCATCCCGGCTCTGAGCAATGACGTCTGAGGGAGGGGAAATTGGAGACGGAGAGGAAACCAGCAATCAGAGGCAAGCCTTTGCAGGCCCCTTTCTTCCCCAAGGTGGCTTGGCAGGGGCTGGTGGGCGTGGCAAGGCAACCACTCTGAGGAGACACGGGGTTCTTTCCTCACCTGCTCCCGGGCCAGCCCTACCTGGTTGAAGAGATGCATCTGCTGCTGGTCAGGGGAAGCATGTAGCCCTCCCTCCTGGCCACCCAGGCTGAGAGTCCCTCATCCTGGTGCCCCAGGCACAAGGGCTCCTGCATCCCAGCACCCATCCTTCTTTCATGTGGGTCACAGGCCTCGGCACCTGCTCTGCAGCAGCTGGTGGGGAGCCGGGAGGAACCTGTGCCTACTTCCTGAAGCCCAGAGGAGTTAGTTCTCCCTGGCACACCAGAAGGGGAAGCCCTTTGAGGTTTCTGCCTCGACCTGGTTCCCAAGTCAGCCGGCACCTAACCAGGGTGGGACCTGTGAAGAAACACAGAGCGACCGGCAGAGATGAGATCCAAGAGGGGCCAGGGGCTCTGATTTCCTTCCCTCTCCTCCAAGTTCCTAACTATATTTAAGACAAGAGAGCATCAAATGAGCGAATGAATAAAAAGCAACTCACCCCTGCTCCATCCATGGGACACGGTAGCCTGAGCATTATAATACAACAGCAGAAGCAGCAAAGTCTTCCAACACATGTCTTCCTCCAAAGAGGTAAACACTCGACCCTCAGACCCAGCTGCTACAGGTGGGCTCCTGAGTTCGTCCCAGAGAGAAGACAGGGTTCCTTCACCCTCCTTTCCAGAAGTGCAGTGATGTCCTCGTCCCGCCTCAGCAGGGTGGAGCAGACGGCAACCTCCTGGGTGGGACAGAGCCGCCACCTTCTTAATCCTACTCTCTCTGGGATTGGGGGCCGGAGCATCCACACAGAGGCTCTGTTCTGAGCACATCTGGAGTGATTCACAGGGCATGTGATTGCCTTGGCAGTGGGGTGGATAAATATAATTTCTGTACTTGAGTTCCATGTGTTGGATGCACCCACTGGAATTTTTCTTTAACAAACAGACCAGCAGAACTTGTTAGAGAGCCCGGCAAAGAGCTGGCAGCTCTCCTTGTCCACACATACTACATCGGAGCCAGGGGCAAGGGCCGTAGGAAGGGCTGGGAGCTTGCCTGGAAGATGCTGGTGCTGCTGGAGCCTGGAGTTGCCATCAGGACAGCACAATCACTGTAGCACCCGGGCTGGTGTCACTGTCACCCTCACCTAGAGTGGATCCAGGGATCTGGGGCCCAGGTCCTTCCCCAGGCTCTGGACAGGTGAGGAGTGGGCAGAGTGTGAGGGAGCAGAAGTAGAGAGGTGACTGACTGAGTGAATAGGTGTTGTCCGTGTGAATCTGTGCAGGTCAACAGGCAAGAGCCCAGGGTCTACCCTCCCTTCACACTCACGATGCTTGTATGAAGCTGTTTCCTGTTGCTAAACCAAGATACCTGAGTCTGGGTAATTTGTAAGAAAAGAGGTTTATTTAGTTCACTGTTCTGGAAGTCCAAGAGCATGGTGCCAGCTTCTGCTCTGCTTGGTGAGGTCTGCATGACAGGTGGCAGCATGCAGTACCAGCGTATATGGGTGAGATTGCACTGTGAGACAGAAAGCCCAGAGCTTCAGGGGTCAGGTTGGCTCCTGTAACTAACCAGGGCTCCACAGGCATGACATGAGTCCCTTCCAAGGACTGATTTCTTAAAGATTCCCCTATCTTTTTTTTCGTACTAGGGATCAAACTCAGGACCTTGCACTTTCGAGGCAGGTGGCGGCACCACTGAGCTAATTCCCCAGCCCCTGCACTATCTTTTTAAAATATTTATTTTTTCATTAGTACATGTTTGCAATACATAATGATCACATTCACCATAGGGAACGTGTACCTGTACGTAATACATCTTAATTCTTCTTTGTTTCCCCATTCCGCTCCCTGGCCTTCAACCCTCTTTCCCTCCCTATTTGAAAAGGCTTTGTTTCCATTTTTTCTTTCCGTTTTCTTTTTAAATCCCTTTCCTTCCTTCCCTTCTCTTCCCCCTCTCTTGTTCCCCTTTCCATTTTGTCATGTTCTTCCTTCTTCCCAATATCTATCCTGTGCATGAATAATAAACTCATTGAGAGAGAAATTAGGAAAACAACACCTTTCATGATACCATCAAGAAAAGTGAAATACTTAGGAATCAACCTAACCAAGGAAGTGAAAGACCTTCACATTAAAAACTACAGTACTCTGAAGAAAGAGATTGAAGAGGATATGAGAAAATGGAAAGATGTCCCTGTTCTTGGGTAGGCAGAACCAACATAGTGAAAATAGCCATACTTCCAAAACTGTTATACAGATTTAATGCAATCCCAATCAAAATACCAATAGCATTCCACTTTTTTTTTTCTCTTTTGTGGTGCTGGGGATTGAACCCAGGGCTTTTGAAGCAAAATAGTAATGTTTTTCTGTGATCATTTTAAGTAATGCCGTGGACACCTTGGTTTTGTCCAATACTACTTCCTCAGCTTCTTTGAAATTACAGATGGGGAGTAGTAAAGTTTGAAGGACATTGAAAGTTCCCTTCCCTTGTCAGCTTCCAGCCTGTGGAGGTGGTAGCCAGAAAGAATGACCATTGGAGAAGATCCTCGAAATCTCCTTCACTTGAATCACAGCTCTCTACTATAAAATCTGAAGCCACTGAGCTCACTGGTATTAATAATAGCTGTTAGGTGCTTACTTGTTTCAGGCAGTGTGCTGGATTTTCTCTTTGTATTCAATGTCTGCAACAAGCTATGAGGTCAGCATAGAGCTACACTCACCAATGGACACATATGGCAAATCATAAGGGTAATTTAAAATTTTCTAGTTGCTACGTTAATGAAATGAAAACAGGTCCACTTAGCTGCATTACTGTTATTTATTTAACTCCACATATCCAAAGTATTATCATTTCTATTTGTAATCAATTCAGGTCCTAGCAAGATATTTTATGTTCTTATGATGATGTCTCTGAAACCTAATGTGTATCTCATGCTTACAGTGCATATCAAGCAAGTCCTTGGTGGCCAAAGGTGGCCAGGAACTCCTGCATCAGAAAGCTTAGAGCTGGAAGATCATAGGACAAGCTCTGGTGCAGGCTTCCTACCTTTGTATCCACTATTGGCTCTGCCGCTTACTAGCTGTGTGATCTTGGTGGGGTTTCTCAATCTCTCTTTGCCTTGATTTCCCTCATCTGTAGAATGGGCAATGACAGTTTCATCTTTAAGGGTTGTTGTGAGGAGCTGACCTAGCATGTATGAATGCCGACAACAATACCCAGAACACAGTAAGCTTTCCATGGGTTGGTGCCCTATACACATGAAGAATCAGGGTCAGAGGGTTAAGTATATGCTCAAGATCACCTGCAAGGGGGCTGGAATTTTAACTTGAACTCTGTGATTCCATACCCTGCATGCAAAACTGTTCCCCTAGCTTGCCTCAAAGCGTTACATTTTGGGAACCCCTTAGTGGAGCTTTGAAAAACCCATTCTGGGGTTTGGGGAGAATCCCTGGTTTGTAGCGCTTGCCAATTTCCCTGGTGAAAATACTCCACCATGGCTCATTTCTAGCTATCAGTGGTTTGACAAGCAGTTGCAACATTTCTGAAGAACAAACAGTTGGCCCATGAAGTAGCCTCCAGCACACCACTGCCTCTTACACAGTGAGTTCTACTGGCTCTCATATCTCCCTGCTTCTGGTGTGATGCTTTCTTTCTGTACTTACTCTGTAAATCTGCAAGCATTGCCCAAAGGACTTAGTAGGGGACTGAGTTCCACTGAATATTTGTTGATTGGCTCTGAAGTCTCGGAAGCTCAGATTAGGCTTTCTCTTGCCAAGTTTCCCTCAAGTAGAAGGCGCTGAGGGCCATGTGGACGTGGCTTGCGATCCAGGACCAGCACCCGTGATCTTGGCCTCCAGTCATGAACGTTTTCATCTGCAGCCTTAAATCCCGAAACTGTCACTTACTGATTACTAAACTGGGGATTAGCGTTTGGATTTAGGCTGCATATGAATGTGTTTGTGCCTAATTTCATTTCATAAGATGATGAGCCAGGCCTTCTCCACCCACCACAACTTGGCACTGGGAGGCAAATGTCTACAGTTTCTCAGGGAGTGTGAAACCCTAACACACTGTGCCTAGTCTTCTCTCTCCCCTGCTTTTCTTGTTCCTGTTGCGGTTCTCTGTGCACTGGCTGAGATGGACAAGAGGACGGGTAGCTCTGCCTTTGTAACAGCACAGCAAAGTTATGCCCACAGAGCTTCCCCAAGCTGTTGATTGTGTGCAGAATACTGCAGGATGGGGGAGGTGTGTTCTACTCAAGGCAACAGTGCTTGGGTACATTTGCACTCTGAACTCCTGCAGCACCTACCTGTATCTCTCTGACAATTTTCCAGCATATACTGAGCTCTGATCAGGCACCTTGCCTTATCTCATTCAATTTTCACAGCAGCTCTGTTCAGTAGACCCTTAGGCGAGTCTGTTTTACTTATGGCACCCTGAAGCTTGGGTTACACACCTACTAAGGTGGCACAACTGCTAGGGGATAAACACTTCCATATACCAACTAGCAGGGGCTGAGATGAACACGAGAAACATAAGAAGGTGGCCTCCACTTACGGGAAGCACAAAGTTGTAATGGGTGTACTGGGCAGGGCGGCACCTAACAGTTGCAAGTGGGGGAAGATTATATTCACTTTGGGGCGCTAGCACAGAAGTGGCACCACTGATGCCCATTGGTTTGCCATTTCCTCGTTCATGTGTGGATTCATTCATGTAGGTTTGAACATCTCCTCCGTGCTGGGTAGTAGATGTATCAGGCCAAATAGAACGCCCCCCCCCCCCCGCCCACCGTCTGGGCTCCAAAACTGTGAGACGATACATTTCTGTTATTTTAAGCCTCTCGGTTTCTTATAGCAGTTCTAGCAAATTGATGCACAGAGAGGCCACCTAGGAGCAGTGGGCCAGACAGATGGACACCACTAGTACAAACTGTGACCCACCATGGAGGAAGCAGGGGGATAAATACCCAGAACTCTCTCCTGTCCCTCTTTCTCATTTTCATTTCCTGATTCCAGATAGCTGGATCCATCCGGCGGCAGCCAGAGGGCAACGGAGCTCAGCGATGTGGTCCACAGAAATCAGCCTCCTAGGCACAGAGAATCGTTGAGGGGTAGGGGGGATCTGAAGGGTAGATCCCATCCAGTAGGTAGGAAAAATATTGGAGAATGAATGAACGGGAGCATGATGGAGACAGAACTACAGGTAACTTCTGTTCTGGGAAGCAGATGACTATGACATTGCTGTTTCCTTTGGGAGGAGAGAAGGAGTCACAGGTTTGAACAATTAAGACTTCTCTACCTCCCATCCCTCCCCTCTGGCTCTGAACTCGGATTCTGAGTCTGGTGAAAGCTCTCTGTTCACGCAGCCAGCACCTCTAGGCTGGATTCTATTTTAAGGCTGTTAAGTGAGTTAACTGGGTACAACAAAAGAAAAAAGGCTGTAATTATGTGAAGTGCCAATCTCCAAAGCAGAAAGGTCATTTAGCCCCAGAGAGTTGCCGATGTGAATGACTCGGAGGACATGTGTGCTTGTGCTGGGCAGGGCCAGCGCGTCCTCTTGAGATGTAGGGGTCCATGTGGATGTTGCTTTCAGACTGGTGAAAGGAACCTTTTGGTGATTCAGCTCCTGGGTCTATGTGATGCCTAGACATCCAGCTGTTGCTGCCAGCTGTGCTAACCACTATAACCACGGTGGTGACTCAGGATAGTACAGGTTAGGGCCACCAGTGGATGGGCCAGCAGAACAAATAGGCCAGATCTCTCCTT